GTACGAGCAGTTCGGGGGTTTGGGGGTTTAGGGTACAGCTTGCCAAGGCCAAGGCGAAGGGGAAAGGCAAGGGCAAGAGCAAGACTGCTGCCAAAGCAAGTGCCAAGCGGAAACCTTTGCCACCTTCCACGCAGCAGCTTTCGTGCTCAGCTAAAAGCAGCCACCCGTGGGTGGGACGAGCGGTGGTCTTCAGCACGCAAAGCGACCCTTGAACAGCTCCAAGAGAGTAAGGGCGTGGGCGTGGTTGAGGCTGTAGACGAAGAAGCTGGCAGAGTGCGCATCTGTGCTGCTTGCGGGACACAGACGCTGCCCATGGCAAGCTTGCAGTTGGCAGAGTAGGATCCTCAAGATGACGTGCCTGCAGTACGAAGGTCAAAAGCATTTGAAGCAAGCTAGCTGCAGCCCGGGCTTAGGGCACCCCAAGTAGTACTCGGAGGTTCATGGGACTTAGCAAGTACAGTTATATGCGCCGTAATTGGGGTTACTAATTAGGTATACGTATGCTTACCTAATTTATAACTTTAGTTACTAAGTCCCATGAAATTCCAAGTATTTTTAAATTTGATGTCTCGAAGTTCCTTTGGCCCAACTGAGCCTTCAGCAGGATTAAGGCACGAAGTGCTTAGGACACCCCAAGTACTAGGGCTAGGATGTTAGGCAAACGCCCCTGATGTATGGAACCCCTCATACAGCACAGGCCAAGTTTACGCGCACTAGCATGACAGAACGAAATTAAGAATATGACACTAGCGGACGAGGGTACCCTGTCTTTCTTATTTTAACAGTGCTTGGTATTTCATGTAGAACCCTATCAATCGCAAAATCCAGAGTTTCATTTTCTTAATCCAATGTTTTCTTAAGTAGTGCTGTTGCTGTATAGGGGTTTCGGGGTTTAGGGCCTAGGGGTTTAGGGGTTTAGGGTTTAGGCTTAGGGGTTTAGGGTTGTGTTTAGGGCTTAGGGGTTTAGGGTTTAGGGGGCCAGGGATAAGTAATTACCAGTCCCTAAAGGATCCATGCATGCCTTTTTGGGCTCCTTCACGGCTCTATATACACGGGTACGAAAAGGGTTTCGGGTTCAAGGGTCCATGTACTCAGAGACTATATACATTAGCCTTAATGTAGTCCATCTTTATGTCCGGTTTCGGGTGTAGGTGCTTAGCGTTTTGGGTTCCTTCGTCTTGCCCGACTATGTTGTACCCCCAAACATTGTTGTATGGTCTAAAGCTTCTACATGAAACCCTCTAGGCTGCTTTGGGTTGACGGCTTCAGTTTTTTGGTATCCGGATAAAGCCGTAGGGCTTGGGTGAATACCGGGTTCGGGCCAAGGTTTCAATCTTATTCGTGGCATGCGGAACCAGGATAGGCTCCCTGAGTTTATTTCTCCAGGTTCGAGCGTGTTCCAACAGCCTGAACATCGAACGGTTCCTGTTTGTTGGTGGTTGTATTCCAGTTGTAACTCAAGCCACCAAGAGCACGAGACAGCTGAACGAGCTATAGTAGCTGGCTTCGCAATGTCTGCAAGGTTTTGTGGATGTTGTGTTAGGGTTTACGTGCCGAGTGCGTGAGGTATGGCACAAGACTGTTCCTTCTTTCAGTAAGTCTGATTGTTGTATTCGCTTTGCAAGATTGCGGATAGCTCAAACAGAACAGCAGTATTAACGGCGGTAGCAGTAGCTTGCGCAGCAATAGCAGCGGTAATAGTTGAGGGGGCGGTAGTGGTGGTAGTAGTGCAGTGACACTGGTAGTGGTAGTGACGTGGTTGTGGTTGTACGGTAGTACTTGTACTGGTGGTAGCGGTGGTGGTGGTTGTAGTAGTGGAGGATTTAGATTTTTGCGGTTTTGGCGCTTTCGGTGTGGGGCTCAGGTGAGTACAGCTCAAAGTTTGCTGCAGGAGCTGTGGGCGCGTGCAAAACGCGCAGCTTTCCGCGGGTCGGTGCCACAGAGATGTCCAGACTGTTGGCAGGAATGGCTGCTGCTCTAGATTAATTCCAGACCCCTTCCTGTGTTTTTTCCAGAGAAGAGCTGTTCATGCATCCTTGAGTCTACAAACATTCTATAGGGTCCGAGTGCAGGGCTGTTGGTTTCTTGCCGTATGAGTCGCTGTCGTTTCGGGTCCATGCAGTTGCCAGGGGCTCGGATACGAGCATCGAACAACCCTAAGTTCTTCAGATTTTCTCCCAACGAGGCCAAGGGCATCGCGTGAAGATTATTTTTTGCCGATCCAGTCCTGAGGTTGACGAGAGGTTTCACCGGAATGAAGTAGGACACGGAGGCTGAGAACTTGTCCTTGGTGTCAGCATGAGCAACGCTGTAGAAATCTCAGAGGAACATCGACATATGCTCTAGTTAAAGCCACCATTCTCTAGTATCTCACAGCTTATTTAAAAAGATGTTTGCATTGAGTTACAGAGAACAAGAGGCCGGCCAAATACAGATCTCTAGAAGGTCACGTGAAGTCCACACGTCAAGCCTGCCAACAAGAAAGCTCTGCTTCCACTCAACGCCATAACGGCCCTAGGCGCGTGACGGTAACTCCACCGAATCTCAACCCCTATAAGTCTTGCGCTTTCTTCCCTCAACAACAAGGCCATACTAGGAACCCACAGCTTTCAAAATACAAGAGACGAAAGCGACCCGGAACCCGGAGCCCAAACCCTACACACCGGATTTAATTAGGTGACCGGTACATAAACCTGAAGCAACACGAGATACTCCTTTGCCCTTGTTTGTGTGGAACTCAAAGCCCAAACCGATATCTCAATCAAATCCAAGGCCTCCGCTCTCAATCCTAAACCCTCAACCTGACATGCTAATTACGCCAACTGCATGCACAAATTCTGGGCCTTAAAGCTTAAACGCTATATAGCCTACATAAACCCTATAATTGAGCCCTAAATCCTAAGCCCCAAGCCCTAAATCCTATCCCTAAGCACTAAGCCTTCGTAAGCCCTATAAGCCATGTTGCGCTGCGCACTCCTCAGCTCCACAGCTGGTCTCCCGAGGCGCGAAGCTTCCGCGCGCGCCGAGGATGTCGAACGTTTGCACAGCCAGGTCGGACTCGCTCTCGTGTTTTGGGTTTAGGGTTTAGATAATTTGTCTATGAGTTTTATAAGGGCTATACGTTTTTTGGGTTTGGGGTTTGGGGTTTAAATAATTTGTCTAATCATAAGTTTTACAAGGGCTGTACAAGGGTGCTACAAGAGTGATAGTCGCAAGTAGGGTTCATTCAACGTTCTTTCAGGTTCTATATAGAGGGTGTAGGTCCAGGTAATTTGCGAAGGGTTTTGTAAGCGAAAGCTTCAGAAGCGCCAGATTAGAAACCTCAAAGCCCCAACCGCAAAGCCCAAAACCCTAAGCCAAAACCCGACAACCCCAAGTAAGATCCCAGACCCCGAAAACCCATAAGGTTACCACCCGCCCCCCTGCTCTCCCCTGCCTCACAAAAGAGATCCCTATAAACCCCAAACCTCCCCTGCCTCAAAAAGAGACCCCCGGCGCCAGGAGGAGGAGTTGGAGCGCTTGGATCAGGAGTGTGAGGATCTCCGGGAGCAGAACAAGGAGGTACTTCCGGGATTCGGGTGTAGATTGTAGCCCCAAGGGCCCAAGTACCTAATAATCATATACTCTCCAAAATCCTAACCTACATAACTACAGTGCTATCCTAAAACCGAGTACTCAGTTATTGGGTCCTTTGGGCCCTTGGGGTAGGGTTTAGGGCTTTTAGGGACTACCGGGTTGAGGGTTTAGGGGTTTTAGGGTTTGGAGCTTGGGGAGTTTAGGGTTTAGGGTTTAGGGTTTAGGGTTTAGGGTTTAGGTTAAGCAAGGAGGCATCCCTTAGAGGGAGTTTTGTTGTGTTCTGACATTCTCCAATCCGAAGACGGTTTTAGGGCTGGGACCGCAGAATCGAGACCAGCAACAAGGAACCTTACAGCCCCTATCAAATTATACGACAAAGTTCTCCGAACATAAACATGTTAGATTCAGAGTCTAGCATCGGGGGTCGGGCGTCACGCGAAATGTCCCTAAAGCACCGAAGGTCAAAACCCTCTGACAGCCCAATATCAGGCAGCCTAATTAGCAGGGTTTAGAAGCAGGCTCGGTTTAGCGTATGGTTTTGGGGGTTTGGGGGCCGGGCCGGTGTAAGTATCGACGAGTAGGGGGTTTTGGGCAGTTTATATTACAGGATTTGTGGGTTTGGCATCGGGTATACAGGTTTTTTGTTGTTTGCGGGAAATGATTTTGTGTAGTTTCGGGATAGGGTGGTGCAAGTGGTAAAAATTATTGAGAAAATGTATGGTTTGATATGAGGGTTTAAGGTAAACTGCTTCAAAAAGCTTAGCTTCAAGGGATTTAAACCAGGGGCCGTTCAGATCGGGCGTTCGTCGTTCGATCTGGTCGTCTTCGACGAGCACATGGTCTCCGGTTGGTGCCCCTGGCATGGTTGGGTTTTTGCCTGCAGTTCGTGTGCATGCAGGAGGGCATTTGCATTCTGTCACATGTCATCACGGCAGCTCGTCATGGCCGAGTGTTCTCAGCATTTTGCTTCAAGACACTGCCGGAAGTCCTGATGTTTCATGTCACAGCATTTACACATTCGCAGACAGATTTCAGATTCACAGCTCTTATTGCACATCGTGATTTCTGGGTCATTCGGAATAGGTCGTTCGGTCTTCAGGCCGTTCGGTTTTTGGTGTCTGTTTTAGGGGTCGTTCGCATTTTGCGAACTTCGAATCATGGCCGGACGTGCTGGCCCCCGTCGTACGGCTGACGATCCCGATATGCCGTACGAGGAATGCGAGCTGCCGATCGATGAAGGCCGTTTCTACCAAGGGCCGTTGCTGGTGGCCTACGGGGCGGAGGAGCTGTACAACACCAGCGGCCGTTCGGGGGCCGTTCGTGCCTCGTCTCAAACTAATGTTTAAAAAGCCATGCAGCCTTGGTGCGTGGGGGTGAGTTGGAGGTTTGTTTTGCATGATTCAGGCCAGAAGGGGCACAGCTGCATGCCCTATCACCTGAAGAAGAGATTCTACGACGTTGGCGGGACCCAGGTCCAGGTGGACGTTCGTGGAATCTGGGACTCGGACACCGCTGCAAGGGCGGCCGGCACTCCAGGCTTCAGTCTTAATCATGTCATGTTTCGCAGTTCGGCAATTTGGTTCAATAGTCAACCGTGGGAGGCAATCCGATGGTGAAGCTCGGGTCGTTCAAAGGGCCGTACAGCCAGGACGAGTTCAAGCCCTGCTTTATCATGCTGGTCGCCATTCTGGAAGGGCTGTTCAAGGTCGAGGGTCGTTCGGTGCTGTCGGTCATTTGCCCCTGGATGCACATTATTTAATTAGGTCTTGGTGACATGACACTGTCGTCATTCGTGTAGTCTTGTTTGCTTTGGCTTGTCATCCGAGGTTCTCATGGCCGCAACCGTTCGGCGACCTTGGTCGTCGCTCTGAGTGCGTTGTTCGAGGTTCCGATGTGGCTCCCGAGCTACGGGGATGCCTCGCCCAGCCAAGAGTGGTGGTGCATCGCCTCTCTGCCGAACGAGATTCTCCAGCAGTTGGAGGAGTGGCGTTCGGAGGCCAGGGGCGGGCCGTTCCGACATGGCAGGGCCGTTCCGGCGCCCCAGACTCCACCGGGCCCACCGCCTGGCGGGCCTTATCATGGCCACGGGACGTTCGATCCCGCTGACTTGCAGGGGGCCATGCCCTCGGTGGGGAACCCCCTGGTGGATGCCGCCCCTCGACTCAATTAAACATTTCAGCTTGCGACTTTTTATTTGTCTTCGTAATCCCTTTCTCAGGTTCGTCTTGACATATGGAAAGTGGCCCCTGGGGTCCTTCTGGAACTAGACGAACTTCGTCTAGATGAAAAATGCATTCGGGCCTCTCGGTGGCAGTGGTCGTTCGCTTTAGCCGCAACAAGCACAACTTCCTGTGAACCGAAGCATCATTTAAATCATCATGACAGGCTGTCGCGAACATCGCTGGACATTCGGAGGATGGGGCGAAGTTCGTGCGGGAGATCTTCCAGGTGTTGCAACGAAACTCGGCTTTGTGGCGTGAGGGCTTGCCACTTGTTCTTGCCATTCGTGTGCTGCCTGAGTTCATTTAATTTGACTCAGGCGAGAACCAGGTCGATCTCAGGACGTATGCCAACCCGTCGGCCGCGATCACCAGTGCCGTCCGTAAGGAGTTGGATCGCTTGAGGCCAGAGATTCAAGGTCTGCCGGGATCGTCGGGTCGCTCGGATTTCATTAGTTAGTTAGTTTGGACTTTGGGGGATGTGTGTGAGTCAAGTTGAATGCACTTTTGAATTCGAGGCGATCGTCCGGGCAAAGGCGGTCGTTCGTGGCATGCTGGCAAGGGTGGCGGGCACTACGACGACTATGATGCTCGCCGAGAGGAGGACCGTCGCCGAGACGAGGACCGTCGCCGTGACTTGCATTTATTGGAGCTGCAGTTCGAGACTGACTGTCATTTGTTGGAACCCACTTTGCGACTGACTCAGGTTATGAGGCCTCTCGTCAGTCGAGCCCTCCGCCGCTCGGTCGGGACTATCGTGACGAGCCCGATGTCTGGCGTTCGTACCAGACCCCGTACGATCGCGAAAGGGCCGATCGTGACCGTCGGGATCGCGAGGAGCGGGAGCGGCGTGAGGCCTACGACCGGGACAGGGCCGATCGTGAGAGGGCAGATCGCGAACGGGACGATCGCCATCGCCGTCACCATGAGGACGAGCGGCTCTCGGACCCTGGACACCCAGGCCGGCCGATTCCGCCACGTTGGTGGGACCGCCGCTCCGAGGAGCCGGCTACTTGACTGTGATCGAAGGTGTCTGCATGCCTGCATTGCATGTTGCATCCCTATTATATATACAGCATGAAGCTAAGGACTTTCGCCGTCCCCGCTATCACGATCGCCGCTAGGTCGTTCGGTGGTCGTTCGGAGTGCCTCGGTTTCTTTATGTGTCACGATATTTTGTGTGTGTGTGTGTGTGTGTTTGAACTTGCAATGCATTGCATCGTCTCAGGTGGCCCCATGGACTATGAACTCCCGGCATTTTGCCACAGCGGCCGCCGTTCGGGAGCCAGTTTTGCCTGGCCGGAGTTGCCTGGAGGGGTGGAAAAAAGTTGTGGGTGCTTCAGAGTGTGCTCGGTCGTGCGTTGCGAGCTCTGTCATGCTGCCATCGCCTTTCGTGCCAGGTGCTGGACGTTCGAGCTCAGGCGTGTGCCCGGGGAGTTTTAGTTTCGGCGTTCGGTGGGTTTCGTCGTTCGGTGAAGTTCTGTGGTTCCTGGGGTTTCTGAGTGCGAGCTGTGTGCGTGCCGAGTGCTCTGCATTTCCCACTTTAAATAGTAATAACAATAATATTATTATTATTTAAAAAATAAGTTAAATGAATAAAGCCCTGACACCAAAACCCAATTAAACATCCAATTAACAAAACACCACACCACAACATCATTCGCCCGGACACTACCAATTTATTTACATAATGTAAACAAAGCCCCAAAACCAGCCCATAAAAAAAAAAAAAAAACTAATAAGACAAACCCCAACCCTGAATACCCGGAGCCCCAAAACACGGAGCACCAAACCCTATATCCCAAACACCTTACCCCAAATCCCAAACTCTTCTATTCTTAGTCTTGTTACTATAAACAAAACCATCGCCCTTAAAAAAAACTTACACAAGCCCCTGCACCCTTTCCCTATATCTCAAACCTGATGAAACTTTTTAATGTACTTAATGGCACTATAATATTAAACTCGGGAGGTACTACTACATCACGGCCGTTCGGAACGATGCTGCAGGGTCGCTCGGGAGGCTGGTTTGGTAAGGTTTAGTTAAATTTCGGGCATAATAGCTTAAGCCTTATAAAGTGAACACCTTAAGCCCAAAGCTCGAGCCCTACATTGTATCCTGAATCAGTAGCTCGAGTTATCATCGGATCTCCTAGTCAAGAGCCACAAGCGGAGTCGTTCGAGTCTAGGACAGCAGGTGTAATTTGTCGTTCGAATAGGCAAGGTTTCCCACGAAAGGACACATCGGATTTGGGTTTGAGTCGCATTGCAAAGCCCAGGGTCAGTGAGTACCGGCGTTCGGTGGTGTTTCATTCTCAAGGGTAGCAAGTGAGATTCACCTAGTTCGTTGGCAAAAGTCCAGCACTCCAGACTCCGGGCGGTCGTTCGTGTCGTCGTTCGTCGTCGTTGGTCGCTAGCATGGTTGCCAGGGCCAGAAGGACCTCCGGGGCGAGCGACAAGAAGGCGACGGCCGCCAAGAAGCAGCAGGAGAAGGCAGCCGCTCGGAGACGTGCGAAGGAAGCGAAGATGCAGAAGAAGGCCGAGAAGACGTTCGCCAAGAGCATGGCCACCTTCGCTGAGTCGTCGTTCGAGCGAGCACGGGCGTTCGTGGACTCGGCACTGGATGACAATCCTGGGTGGGTCAGGCCGCTCGCGGACCTGATTCGCGACGGTGCCTTGCAGACCTTGCTCAAGAGTGGCCAGTCGTCGGCCGAGGGCGGCGGTGGGGACAGTCGGACCCAGCCCCGGAAGTGGGCCGGCAAAGCCAAGACGTTCGGTGAATTGCCGGAGGAGGCGAAGGTGCACATGCTCTCGAAGATCGGCGTCGCCATTGAGTCCAACGGTGTGTCGGCCGACGTTCTGGACGGCTTTTTCGTCGTTCAGTTCTTCGTCGACCCCGACACACCGTTGCCGGCCGGTGCTCGGTCCTTCGACGTTCTCGAGAAGATGGCCAAGCAGCGGTTCGAGACCCTCGGCGAGCATCGTGTGGCACCCCACGTGACCTCGGAGTTCGACCTCCAGTGCTTCACCTTGGAGGGCGACCAGGTAACGAATGCGCTGGACGGGGAGTCGGCCAGCCTTCCGTCGCTCGCGGTCGCGGGCGACGAGTGGGTTCTGGACGACGAAAGCCAGCCGACGGCCAGGGTGTCATCGAAGGCCAACCCGCATTTGTCGTTCGGTTGCCGTACCTTGTTCGACAACTTGCGGTCCGTCGATCCCCAGGCCAAGTGGGTCATGAAGAAGGACGAGTGAGCCAGTGTGAGTCTCTCGGGTTGTCGTTGTTCGAGACAACGGCAAGTTTTGCGGGGATCCTGTAGTTCGGCTACATTGGGGATGCACAGGAAGCAAAAAGAACCCTTTCAAGTCGCTTAGGTGCGTTTCAGCAGTTTCTAGGTGCATTTCAGGTGTTTTTCAGCTTTTTTCCAGTGTTTTGGGCCGTGTTCGATGAGTAGTGCCTCTAGTGGACACTTTTCTGCGTTAAGGGCTGCCGGGTTAGGGACAACAACCCTTTTCAGTAGATTATGTGCGTTTCAGTTCGCTGTTCGTGGAGCACGTCAACGACCCGGCTCACCGTTCCCACAACGACGTGAACCTCGCGATGGCGGCGGCCGGTCTGCTGACGTTCGGCCTCGTGTCCATCGGCCTCTACAACGTTCGTTACGGCCCATGGAACAAGGGCACGTGGTTCGGCAAGGTCCAGACGATGGCGGACGAGATGAGTCGTTCGATGAGCCCTTCGGATCCGTTGCTGCTGACTTCTTTCCGGACATTCTGGAGGACCAAGGCCGTTCGCAAGAGGACAACAACGAGGCCGAGCGACGTGCTTTTCTGGAGAGCCTGCCAAACAGGTCGTTCGTGAGAAGCAAGGGCAGCAAGGCCTCGCAGTCTCGCTTCAACAGTCTCTCGCAGGCCCATGCGGAGCTCGACGGCGAGTGGTCGGCCTTTTGCCTCGTGCTGGTCGCTCTCTGCGTGGCCGAGGGCTGGTGCACGACGGCGTCCCAGTTGTGGTCGCCCTCCGCTGGCATGGCCGAGACGACGACGGCCGGCACGACCAGGGCGGCCGCCAAGTCTGCTGCTCGCAAGGCTCTGCAGCAGCAGAGGAGTCGTTCGGTGAACGTCTTGCACGGGATGACGATGTTCGCGTGCAACCAAGACAATCGGTCGCTGGCCAGGTCCGTGTTTTTCGTGCTTCAACCGGAGAACGTTCGGTGCAGCACGATGCTCGCAGACCTTCGGGCGGCCGAGGCCACCGTGAGCCAGTATGCCAACTGGGCCCACTGGCAGTACATGGAGGTCGCTCGCGAGCACGTCGCCAAGCTGTCCAACCTGGCCGCTCTGAAGCGGATCGGCCTTGACATGTCCTTCGAGCTGCCAAAGGAGGAGGTTCGAGAGGACTCGCTGGCGTGGCAGGATGCAGTCGCTCACAGAGTCGTTCGCCTGACACACCGTCTCTTGCGATATCGTTGCGGCAGCCAGCTGGGGTCCACGAACGGCTGGGGAGCATCGGCCGGCTTGCTGCACGAGTCTGCCGCCCTTCGACAGTCCAGCCTTCGCTTTCTGGAAGAGGTGGATCGCACGGTCAAGCGTGTGCAGGCCGAGGGGTCGTTGGAGGCGAAGCTCCTCTTGGACGGCCACCCTGCCACGGCGCCCGTGATGGCCATGTTGCTGTCCGAGTTGCGGGAGGCGTCGTTCGTGGAGGTTCCGCCGGGGACGTTCGAGTGGCTTCGCCGTTCGTGGAGCGGCCTGCTGAACTCGAAGCTCGTGGAGGACGCCAACAAGGTCCAACGTGAGGCCGAGCAGCGGAATGGCACTTCGAAGACGTTGGGTCGTTTGGAGGGCTGGCACGGTCTGTCGAGAAAGAAGCTCCTGGAGCAGTATCACAGGAGAGAGGTGCCGAGCGGCCGGATGGCGACCGTGCCCGCGAAGTTCGAGGCCGATCCGTGGTTCGTGCGGCCTAAGCGGCTCCGCACGGAGCCGGGCAGTTCGTCGGCCGCCGTTCGCGAGGAGCAGGAGGAGGGCCTCACGGACCAGACCTTCGAGGACGACCTTCTGAAGGGCGTTAGCCAAGCGAGGACGTGGGCCTCTCCCACACCTGAGTCGGAACAGGACAAGCTGGCTGGGTTCTCGCTGCTCACCAAGGTCATTCGGCAGAACATGGACTGGTCCTTCGTGGAGAAGGGATGGTGGGCAGCCTTGGCTCCCGAGGGACATGCCTTGCAGTTTCCGACTGGACCACCGTTGTACGTGGTTCGCAGCTACAAGCGAGCGGCTCTCGTCTGGCCCGGCAAGTTGCAGACTTCCCCTGCCGGAGACATCGTCAGCCTGGACCTGGAGAACCCACAGGTCGGATGGGTGCACCTTTTCGACGAGGCCGTGGACGTTCTGGACTTGGCTGCGACCTCGCCACAACGTGGCCTGGCCCACAAATCTCTGGTTTTTAGTATGGATTCCGTAGTAAATATTCACTTAGGCTATAGCTTCCTAAATCCTAAACCCCAAAATCCAGCACAGGGAACCCTTTAGAGTCGTTTATGTGCGTTTCAGCATTTTCTAGGTGCGTTTCAGGTGCGTTTCAGCTTTTTCGTAGGGTTTTCTATACATTTTCGATATTTTAGACTTTACCCACGGCGTGACAGCAACGAGCAGAATCACCCGAATGTAAGCTGCAGTCAAAAAGCGCATTCTCCGCCAGGTCTCGTGTCTCTCGGTGAGACCCGGGCCATGGGAGTTGTCTTTCGGGTGCAGGCCCGATGTTCCTTGCTTCAGCACCACGAGAAGTTCGGCTTCGCAGGCGTTCCGGAGTGGGGTCTGCGACGACTCGCAGAGGTGAAGGGATGGCCGGCCGAAGCTGAGGAGACTGGCCACGAGGAGGACGACCGCCTCGCCGTGGTGTGCCTCTTGTCTCTCCAGCCAACTCTGACGAAGGACGACGTGGTCAATCGTCTCCTGTTTCGCCAGGACGTGGCCTCGTGGTCGGGCGAGTTTGGGGAGCTCGATCTGACAGAGGTCGTGCGAGACACAATGTTGGCGGCCGACCAGGACGTCGCCCTCCAACAACTTGCGAAGCGGAAAGCCGCTCGCGAGACTGCCGTGGAGATCCGGAAGCGGGTCTCGCGGACTTTCGAGGCCGTCGCCAAGACCTTTGCCAGCCGACCCGAGTACAAAAAGGCAGCGGCAGCTCGAAAGGCCAAAGAGAAGCAGGCATCGCAGCAGCAGAAGGACCATGCCGCTGCGATCAAGCGGTGCTATGCCGCCCTCAGCTCGGACATCGACAAAGCCGTGAAGGTCGGCGTTCCCACAGCCGTCCGGGTGTATCGGGACGACTACAACGGCCGCTGGCGTCTCACGTACAGGACTGTCTGGGCTCAGGTCACTCGCAGCATTTCGTGGACTGCCGTGGGCAGTAGGAATGCCGCAGCGGAAGCCGTTCGCCAAGGCTGGCAGTGGGCGGAGACTTTCGACGGCCTGCCGATGCCGGAGGAGGCAGCAGGCCTGTTGCAGAAGTTGGCGGCTTGAGGCCTGGATTTCCGGACGTGCGATGGCAGAGAAGGACGTTCGAGAATCCACTGGGCCTTTCCGGTAGTTTCACTGCGGAGTAAAGCGGCCGTCCGGGCAACGAGTGCAGAGCTTGCAGAAACGGCGTTTTGTCCTGCTTGCTGTAGCGAAAGCCAGAGTTCTTGAGAAGACGTCTTCCACAAGAAAGCCTTGCTTCGCCCAGGTCATCGCAGTTCCGTTCAAGCTCCGGCCGTTCCTGCTCTCTGTTCCAAGCACGAGGCCGCCACTCCGGGAACTTTCGCTTTGCTGTGTGGGAGTGAGCCGTTGCAGTTAACTTCTCTAAGTTTTTTCAGGGTATGGGGTTTACAGGAGGTTCGTCTGCAAACAAGTCTTGGGCCGTCACACTTGCAGCAGCAGAAGCAGTATAGCAGCAGTTCTTGTTCGCTCTACCCTGTTTTTCTGCAGCGTCTTCTTTTCAAACCTCGTCTAGTCACTATAGGAGAAGCACCATGGGACGGGCCACTTTGGCGGAGACAGGTGGCGAAAGGTCCGCAAGCGCCTGGGCCCTGTTTAACTCGTGGGTCGCTCGGGAAGGCCTGACGGTCTCTCGGGCTGCGAAGTTCCGCATTCGCGGGAAGCGGATGCTCCGGGAGAAGGCAGCGATGAAGCTCAAGTGGATCCTGGGATTGTTTTATTTAGTTAGCAGATACGGCCAAACATTGACTAAACCATAATATCTTTATATTGCTTTGGATGGTTTTGGGAGGTGTTTAGGGTTCCAAGTCAGTTTGACACCTTCGCAAAGCCTCCACTTGAAGCCCTCTTGGCCTACTAAAGTTTATACCCTAAACCACAAAACCGAACCTTTCGAACCCTTTCAGTAGCTCTATGTGCGTTTCAGCTTTTTCCAGGTGCGTTTCAGGTGCGTTTCAGCTTTTTCCTAAGGATTTTATACAGTTGCAAGGAGTGGGCTTTTCAAACGACAGGCTTCAGACCCAAGGAGGCCCAAGGTTGGCTTTTGAAACTGTTGCATCGGCCGATAGGATTGCACTAAGACTACTAGGGAAGTCCTCCGAAAATTTTGTCCCAGATTGCACCTAGAACCAATTGAAGGTTCCCCAAGGCCAGCAAGCTTCAGCAGCCTTAGCAAATCTAGTGAGCAAGGGCCCTACTACTTTCCCCTTGCCGTCGCACACAGTTTAAAGCTTTCCGAGAATCAACCTCCCTTGCACTGAGGAACCACCGAAAAAGCAAGGACATTCGGGAGAAGTTCGCGGCACTCGCTCAGGCGAAGTACGAGGACAACCGAAAGAAGGCCGAGGCTTACAGAAAGGCCCAGTCGTTCGGCGATGTTTCGCCGCAAGTCGCTGCCGACGAGGCCGAGGTCGTTCGAAAAGCAGAAGCCGAAGCCCACCTGGAAGCTGACCTTGCCGTTCGGGAAGTGCAGGCGGACACCTGGACCTGGACTTTGGGTCGTTCGCTTCGTGACTTCAAGCCGGTCGGCCGTGGGGCGAGCGGTGAGGTCTTCTTCGCCACCTTCGAAGGCCTTCCGGTTGCAGTGAAGCTGACAAAAGGTCGGGGGCTGCAAGCGGCAGCAACCGGCATCGACGTTCAGGAGGAGTTCGCCGTTTTGACGGCCCTGGGGCAGCACCCCAACGTCGTTCGAGCTTTCGCCGTTGTCACGAGCTCGCTGGGCCGGCCGGGCTTGGTTCTCGAGAGGGCGTCTGAGAGCCTGCATGCGAAAGCTCGCAGGCTCAAGGACGATCGGCTGGAGAACTCGCCGGCCGGCAGGGCCTCGCTGCTGGGACTTTTTTCGCAGTTCGTCCTCGGCCTGTCCTTCGTGCACGGGCGTTCGGTCATGCATCTCGATGTGAAGCCCGCCAACATTCTCGTGTTCGATGACAAGAGAGCTGCCCTGGCCGACTTCGGCCATGCAGAGGGGGTCTCCGAGAACGGTTGCTCTGTGGTGGGCGATCGCGTGTACACCCTGGACTTTCGCTGCCCGGAGTGCCTCATGGCCGGCGGCCAGAAGGCATGGGTTGCTGGCGTAGCTATATCCCTGGAATCCTTAAGACGTAAGCTCAAAGTTCTTTTTCTGATCCCTGCAGTCTCTTTAAGCAGTGCCTCTGCCGAACCCTTGCAGCTAGCCTATTTCGGACAATGTAACAGTTCATAGGAAGGCCCGAGCTTCAATCACAGAAACCCTGCCAGGTTCGTGTGAAGTTCGCCGCTGACGTCTGGGCGGCCGCAGCCACGTTGTTCGAGGTGTGCTGCCCCAGAAAAGCTTCGCTTTTCTCAGTCCCGCCGGGGACGTTCGTGCGGGAGACCGAGGAGCAGACAGCAAAGGCCATTCGGGAGATGGCCACTGCGAGGAGCTTCAAGCTGATGCCGTACGACCAGACAATGCAGGACGTCCTGGAGAAGACGTTCGTGCCGGCAGAGAAGCGACTCTCGTTGCCGGGCTTGCTTCGCATCCTGGACAAAGAGCGGTCGGCCTCGCGGTCCATCGGCAGGCCCGCCTTCGGCGACTGACCTTCCTGACTGGTCGTCTTGGACGGAAGCAGCAAGAGTCGTTCGAGAACAGCTCCTCGAGCACGGTTCTTGGAGACTGTCGACTCTCGGGTCTCTCGCCCGGCGGATAAAAAAGGAGTTTGTTCAGTCAAGCAGTTGCTTTCACACAGTTTGTTTCCCTACGGTCGCTAGCCACACGTCTGCAGCAGTTGCCCGAAGCCCCGTCCGCCCTTCGACAAAGTTGCTAGCCGTGCTGGGCAGGTACTCCATCGACGATGTCTTCTTCCTCTGGCAGAGCCGGTGTTCGGCGCCGGGGTCAGACCTCCGTCTGGCCCACTCCCCGACCCCTCCAAAACCCCCAGTTCAATCAGGAACTTACGTGAATTGCAGCATTTAGTTCACCTGGAATTGGAGTCCCTAAAAACCCACCGCAGCGAACAACTTCCACCGGAGTGGGCATCCTTCAGGCGACATACTTTAAGTGTGAAACCCTGGCCACACCACCTTTTCCCAGCCCCCTCCTCTCCTCACTGTCCTCCTAGTTCGACCATTTTTCTCCACCAGCCCGATAAGCCCCTACAGTGCAGCACAAAGCCCGCTTCCCGACAAATTTCTAACACAGCAAAAACAAGCATGCAATCAACAAGAAAAAGTGATCCCTTCATAGCTTTGCAGCCAGCATGTGTGCCGCCTCGCACAATTTTCCTACATTGAAAGATGGTTTCAAGACCTAACAGTTCTCGGGCCCAAAAACAACAAAAAGGCCTACTTCCACACTGTTTCACACGATCACACAGGATGCCACACAGAACTATTGTATACATCATCGGATTTCGCACATTTGCGCCCGCAGAAGCAGCAACATCTTCAAGATTTCGCCCCTTCGGACAGCTTGAAACAACATACAGAATGGACTCTTCAAAACAGCTGAATATCAGTGCACTTTTGCCCGCAGTTTTGAGCTGTTCCCATCACACGACCCCCTAGGCCAAAACCTGTCACTTAACCGGGCCTACCTTTTACCGGGCCTATTAGCCCGCCCAACAATAAACCCCTCGCACCAGGACCCGAATGTAGGAACCTGATCAAGAAACCCCGGGCATGTAACCGCCAAATTGTAGGATTCATTTCAGAAACCCTAATAAAGGCCCAAGGTTTCTTATTCAGGTTCCTAGACTAAGCCAAATAAACCCTACATACCTGCTATCCTAAAACAGAGTACCTAATTATTGGGTTTTTGGACCCTTAGGGTAAGCCCAATAAACCCCTAAGAAGTCGCAGGTGCTCCTTTCTCTCCAGTTGCAGCAGCAGGATCTGCACATGGCCATGGTAACTGGGCGCAGGGGAGTCAGGGGTTAGGGCTGGGAGGCTGGGAGTTGCTTGCCTTTGTTTAGTAGGGAATGGAAGAACGGTGGTAATAGTAGTTATAATTCTACCCTATTCCTCCATTCCTTACTAACCAAAGGTAAGGTTATGAGTGATGAGTGATTAGGTATGAGGGTCTTTTGCACGGTTAAGGAGGCTTCGGCAGGGCTGTTGGGCTTTTGTTTGCCTTTTTGTAGTCCTAGGTTCCTTATAAAGTTACCCAATACCAAACAGGGAACCTTTTTTTTTGCTAGGTTACTGGGCATCCTAGTGAGGGATGCTTGGATGTTCGAGGCCGAGACCCGCCGGCTGTCTGAGCGCGAGGCGGCCTATGAGAGCGAGATGCCGATGGCCTCAGCAATTTGGGGTTAATGCCTACGGGTTTCCTTTATAGCGGTTTAGGGCAGGGGGCTTACGGCCTCAGCAATTGGGCATTTCAGGCTTGCGGGTCTCTGTTTAGCGGTTTAGGGTTGCCTCAACAATTTGGGGTTTAAGGCTTAGGGGTCTCTTCAGGTGTCAGGGGTCTTTCAATGAAGGCTTCGGAGGGTTGTAGATGGATCGAAGCAATTAGGGTTTGTTTGTTCGGGGACATGGATGAACTCTCGCGAGTGCACACCGGCAGTCAGGGATTTCAGGGGCACATGAATCCCCGGAGCCTCCATTAATGTTCCGCCCTACACAGTTTGCAGTGGCTGCTGGAATGTCGGAACATCACTTGTCTGGAAGCACTAATCATCCTCTCCCTGATGTTCGAATTTGGTGGAGCACATTATTGTGCTCAGTGTTGTGAGAGTCCAACAAGCACTGGTGGCATACCCTAGACAACTGCGCCCAAAACCCGCGAACCTTTAACCCTATAGGCCGATAAAGAGCCCTTCAAACGCAAGGAAAAGCCTACAATGGAACCCTAAAGGCTACCTAATTCCTTTTTGTGGCTCATATTTAGAATCCTATATAAGGTAATCCCAAAGAGGAACTACAATGGAACCCTAACGGCAAATTATACCATAAGACCCAAAACCCAAAACCCCAAACCTTCCCCCATGGGTCCAAAGGACCCAATAATTAAGTACTCGGTTTTAGGATAGTAGTTATGTAGGTTAGGATTTTGGAGAGTATATGATTATTAGGTACTTGGACCCTTGAGGTTCTAAACCTTAAACACGACGTCGAGCCTTTCTGAGCCCCCAAGAGGCTGCGGGTGTCCGAACGCTCAGCAGAGTTGGGCGGCCATTCCAACCCGAAGCGGCTCGGCGTTAAGGGCTTTCGTAAACAAAAATCGGATCTGGGTTTCGTGGTGTGGGTTAAGGGTCTACCTAAAGTCTCCATTGTAGTTCCTTTTATTGGTTTAACCAAGTATATATGAGGGATCCTATAAGGTAACCCAAAAAAGGAACTACAATGGAGACTATAGGTAGGGTTGAGGGGTTTTAGGGGGCTTTTTGGGGTGAAGGTGGAGTATGCTAGTGTGCTTGGGACGTGGAATTTCGGAGGAAGGAGCATGTTTTGGAATTTAGGAAGTTCATGCGTGGATAGAGCTTTGGGGCATGGTGATGCCTTTTTGCGGGCTTCTCGAGGTTCTTGTACGTGTCCAGGTCTTCGTTGTCATATGTTTCGAAGGTAAGGGTATCTTCCGCAACCGAACAGTGGGATATCGAACACCACCATGAATTATCTAGAGAAGCCTCACACAGAATCTGCGTCGATTCACTGTACCAGGCAGGGAGCCTGTATAGTTGGCCTTCCAGGGTTCAATCAGGTGGGGAATCGCATTCGGGACGGCAGAACACGCAGTTGAAGTATCCTTGCGGTGCAATTTTCGGGGCCTAAACGCTTTGGACTTGAACCGCATGAGTGATAGCTGTGAGTTTCAGAAAATAAAAGCAAGGGACCCGAGATGCAGATTCTAGTGGTTCTATAGTAGGTTCTGCTCTAGTAGGCACTCCAATTTCAACCGTACTGTCTTCATGGTCTTAATGCGACATAAACGTCTCTTGCAACAAGCTGCCGAGGCCAAGTTCAAGGACTCTAGGGCTCACCTGAAGCTTATCCGTGAATGGTTGAATGGTTAATCTCCTCAACCCTCAATGCCGTCTGCAGACCCGAAATTAAAGAACTTAACACTCCAAGCTGTCGCGAACCCTAAATCCCTGCCCTAAGAAACCCTTAAACCCGGAAAAGGCAGAAGATCAAGCACCTCATGGCCGTGAAAGAAGAGAACCAATCTCTCCGACAGGATTTTTTGGGTTCTGAAGTGCCATACCTTTAGGGTTTAGGGTTTAGGGTTTAGTGCCATACCTGAATGCATTCGTTGGACCTGTTCCTTACCAGAACCATTATGCAATGCAAGTCTATACTTGCTTTGCCTGATTACTTGAATTTCACGTTTCTATGAGGAGACAAGGGTTTCTACTTTACAGAGAAGCAGTGGAGGGACTGCCCAACCTCGGATACAGGGAGGATCAGGTGAATTTGTGTCTAAGGTTATAAGTACCCTAAGTAATGAGCCCTTTAAGTAGTGATAATATTAAACATTACCTACCGCATAGTGCTTGAGGCCCCAAAATTGTGTATGAACATGTGGCACGCTTGGCTGATGAAGACCTATCTTCGAACGTGCGGTCATCCCGAGCCCATTCCGATTCTCCTACCGTGAGCTTTGTTCGGCTTTCGGATTTAAGGTTGAGGTTCCCCACTAGTACTTTTTTGTTTCTTTGTAGTTGCTATTTCAGGAGTCCTTTGCAAGCAGTCAGCAGCAAGGGTCAAGGGCGTGATGTTCTTCTTGTATTCGGGGTCGGCTAGGAATGTGGGGAGGTTAAGGTGGTTGAAGCCGCTGGAACGTTGCAAGAAGATTCACGACCATAAGCAGCGACGATCCAGAATCTAAGGTGCTATTATAAATCCGAAACCCGAACCCGTCAACCTGAATCTAGGATCACGACCCCGTCTCTCGAGCTTCCTTCGTTGTTTGGGGCTTCAGGTAGGAGGGAACCCACAAAGCAGGGAACACATGCACATAAAACCTGAATGCACTCGCATCTTTCTGTATTTGTCCTGTGCGTGTGTGTGTGTTTGTTTGTGTGTGTGTGTGTGTGTGTGTGTCTGTGTGTGTCTGTGTGTGTCTGTGTGTGTCTGTGTGTGTCTGTGTGTGTCTGTGTCTGTGTGTGTGCGCGTGCGCGCAAGCGACATATGTCCGTATATCCTGCGCCGTATCATGTTCCACACGTACTCTCTCGACTTGTCCTATCTATAGACGTGCATCCAACCGCCATACATACACACCCCTAGATACACACAGTTATACATAGCATATTCTAGAATATCATATCTATATATATATATATATATCTATATATATGTATATATATATATATAGATACATATATGCGTATATACATATGTATAGGTCAACCCTAGAAGTACCCATAGTCGGTCATTGTTTCGTTGACCTTACGCGGTTTCGAAGTTCGTTCAACTTCCCTGTGATGAGGAGCTAAAGAGAAGCCGGCAGTTGGCTGCGCAGCTCGAGGTCCAGCTACGCAGGGATCCCGGGTCCCGGGAGTTTTGGTTTGGTGGTGTGGGGTTTAGGGTTTTTTTGTTGTCTTTCGAACTATATGGGCCATTGTAGGCTGTGCATGTTCATCAATCGGTTGTGA